CGCGACACTGCGGAAGAGGGTGTTGAAAGTATTATTCATTTCCCTGCTGCTTGACTTGGTATGTCATCTCTAGTCGCAACTAACTGAGCGCATGCACTGACAGCCATGGGCTTTAGATATCATTTACATTCATCCTCCCACTGTTTCCCAAACTAATCGAATTCTACCGTAACCACGAAACCGGCGACCCAAACACGATCCTCTCCAAAATCCTCGCCGGTCTCAACGCATACAAGAACTCGTTCGCGAAGCCCATCAACTCCTGCTACGACATTGTCCTCCTCGGCGGCGCACTCGGCTCGCTCTTTTCCCTCTGCCAGGCAATCGCATCGCCCTTTATCGGCACACTTTCGGACAAATATGGAAGGCGTACTGCACTGCTATGGTCCATGGTCGGAAACATCTTCAGCGTGGCACTATGGGTGGCAGCCACAGACTTCCGGACTTTCCTTGCGAGCAGGGTCGTGGGTGGGCTGAGTGAGGGCAACGTGCAGCTTGCCATGGCGATTGCTACAGATATCAGTGATGATAGCCAGAGAGGATCGACAATGGCGCTCGTGGGCGTCTGCTTCAGCATCGCTTTCACGTTTGGTCCTGCTCTGGGTGCATATCTCTCAACGCTGCAGATCATGGAAAAGAATCCCTTTGCCATGGCGGCGGGCTTCTCCCTGTTTCTCATCGTCTCGGAGACAATCTATCTATACGTCAGCCTTCCAGAGACACTTCCTTCGGCAAGCAAGAGCGAGAACGGCACGGCAAATGGAAAATCCAAGGACGTTGACGCGCCGAAGCCCCGTATCCGGACAAACTCACACTTTCTTCTCAACGCCACCCATTTTACCTTTATCCTGTTCTTTAGCGGTATGGAGTTTTCGCTGCCATTTATGACGTATGATCTGTTTGCCTATCAAGCAAAGGATTCGGGACGACTACTCGGGTTCATTGGATTGGTTGCCTCGCTGCTCCAGGGCTCAGTGGTGCGTCGCATGCACCCACTCAAGGTGGTTCAGATGGGAGTCGTCAGCTGCACCATAGCCTTTGTTATGCTGGGTAGGGTGCAGACGCAGGGCGCGCTCTATGGAGCAGCCGCCCTATTGGCCGTGACGAGCGCGACGGTTGTGACTGGCTTGAATAGTTTGTCGTCTTTCGAAGCTGGTGCGGGTGAACGCGGAAATAAACTTGGAAATCATCGAAGTTTCGGTAAGTTCAGAAGACGCTGCTGTGAAATTGCAATCGCTAACTCCCTCTCAGGCCAGATTGGACGTTCTCTGGGACCCTTGGTCTTCTGCACGCTATACTGGTGGGCAGGCCGAGAAACAGCGTACGCGACGGGAGCTGCGGGTATGGTGGCTGTGTGCGGATTGGTATTTGGAGGGCTCAAGGTACCACCTGGCACAGAAAACATTGGCAAGAAGAAGCAGAAGACGGTCGAGTAGACGTGATGATTGGCTGCGGGTGTTGATTCATGTACAAATACAATAGCATTATTATTATTGTTATTTTTCTGTTCAAAGCCAAGTGTTGTCTCAGATCGAGGCCAGGTCCGGTACGGCGGTAGTTCACAGATTTATAACCCATAGAGTAGACACAAGGTACATTGATCTAGTATGCTTATGCTTACATACTTACTCAATGGTAAACAAATAAGATAGTATGCACGTCTCGACGCCGTAGTTAGTCCTTAGTAGTCTGACGCTCGGCACGCCTGCCGCCGACCCGTTACCCGCACCAATACCGCTCGTTGGCTTGCACTTGGGAGCAGATCTACACGCAACGGCGCCAGCTCCCCCGCACATACGCAGCCTAGCACTCAAGTGGACCTCGGCTTCTGCCTCTGTTTTGTCCATGTCGCCAGGGATGGAGGCCAGGAGCTCGGTTCGGCGTGTTGGCTCCATGGAAGGCCGCTATCGCTATCGCCTTTATTTTCGGACAATGCTTCGGTCTGCATCTGTCCGCCTACTTATTAAACAACAAGCACGCCCCATCGTGCCATAAAGCGGCGGTCAGGAACATGGACCCTACAACCACCGCTGCAGCCCTGGCTGCAGCTTCAGCCCTTGCAGCATATGTCAACGCAAAGTACCATGTTGCGCAGGACATCGAGACGCTGAAGTTCAAGAGAAACTCGACAAAGTATTATGAACAGCTTGGTATGCATCTCCCCCATATCCCCTTCCTCGACTCGCACCGACATGCTGTACAATCACCCTCTACCCATGCTGATCCTCCACAGTGAAAACAAACCGACAATCCCCATGGTACACATTTCCCTTGCAAGTAGAGAGGTACGGCGACAACCTGTGCATCTGGTCCCGCACCAAAACCTACACATGGCGACAAGCCCACGACCGCGCCGTGCAATGGGCCAACTTCTTCCTTGCCCAGGGCGTGAAGCCTGGCGACATGGTTGCCACCTACCTTATGAATAGTGCGGATTTCATGATCCTCTGGCTCGGTCTCTTCTGTATCGGCGCCGCCCCAGCCCATTTGAACTACAACCTGAAAGACGAGGGACTAGTGCACTGCTTGAAAATCGCCGGAGTAAAGCTTGTGCTTGTTGATGAAGACGAAGGTTGCCAGGAGAGATTCGAAAACGTCAGAGCCACAGTGGAAGACCTAGGCATCCGTGCGTTCAAGGTGGATGAGAACATGTTGGCAGAAGTTTATCAAGGAAGCACTACGGTACCAGGCGATGAATATAGGGAAAATGTGCGCGGGAGAGATCCCACATGTTTGCTCTACACGTCCGGAACAACCGGGCTACCAAAAGCAGGCAAGTACATGGTCAGCCGGTTTCACGAGAGGGGAGATCCAGACAATCTCAACTTCGGCCTGAAGGCTGGACCAGACGGCGACCGGTGGTACTGCTGCATGCCTCTGTTTCACGGAACAGGAGGCATGCTGACTCTGAGTGCCATGACGAGTGGCTTGAGTGTGGCGATAGGGCGCAAGTTCTCCATCCGCACATTTTGGGACGATATCCACGACTCGCAATCTACAATGTTTGTCTACGTTGGTGAAACAGCGCGTTATCTACTCATGGCGCCACCACACCCAAAAGAGAGGGATCACCGACTACGCGGCATGTACGGTAACGGCATGCGCCCAGATGTCTGGCGTCGATTCAAAGAGCGCTTCAACGTTCCAGAGGTCATGGAATTCTTCAACTCGACCGAAGGCGTGCTGGGCCTGGTCGTCCACAACAAGGGCCCTTTTACGGACAACGTTCTTGCTCAGCACGGTGCCCTTGTCAGAGCAGCACTGCACAGCATTTACATACCTGTAGCTGTGGACCCAGAAACTGGCGAACTGCTACGCGACCCCAAGACTGGCTTTGCCAAGCGTAATTCGTATAATGAAGGTGGCGAGATTCTAGTTGCCGTACCCAGTGAGGACGCATTTGCTGGATATCATAACAACCCGAAAGCTACAGCGAAAAAGTTTGAAAGAGACGTGTTCAAGAAAGGCGACCTATACTATCGATCCGGCGATGCGCTAAGAAGAGATGACGATGGCAGATGGTTCTTCATGGACAGGCTGGGCGACACGTTCCGCTGGAAGAGCGAAAACGTATCGACGGCCGAAGTTGCCGAAGTGCTAGGAAAGTTCCCTGGCGTCGACGAAGCCATCGTATACGGTACACTGGTTCCCAGGCATGACGGCCGTGCAGGCTGTGTTGCTCTCAGACTATCCCCAGGCATTAGCCCCGAGGCATTCGACTGGAAGGCACTGTTGGAATATGCGCGAGGCAAGTTGCCAAGATATGCAATACCCGTGTTCCTACGCTTGGTCAAAGAAGCAAGTAATACGGATAATCAGAAGCAGAACAAGACGCCGTTGAGGAATGAGGGCATTGAAATCGATAAGTACGGAAGTAAGGTTGTTGGGGGTGCCGATGATGTTGTCATGTGGATGAAGCCTGGTGAGGATAGATATGTGAAATTTACCCTGGAAGATTTGGAGACGCTGAGAAGTGGGAAGATTACATTGTAGGTGGTTGAAGGTCAATATATATTATAATTGCCGAATATCCATATAGAGTATTACCCACCTGGTCCACGTGCATGATCAACTTAATGATTCTGTTCATGAATCTTCTTGGACCGAATGATCGCCACCTCTGTAACTTTTTTTTCCGGGGTTTTCCAAAAGGAAAGTAGTTACCAATGCCCATACTGTAAAATAATGACCTATTGTTCAATCAGCTGATATGGGCGATCTAAACTAGCTAGATACAATACTTTTGTCTCTAAAATGGCGCAGTGGTCAATTAAGCAGAGAAATCATGAAAACCTTCTTCGGTGCTAAAGCTTAGAAAACTCCTTTCTTCTTACGAGTCCCAAAGTCGAAAGAAAAACTAGCTCTAACATGAAATATTCTTGAGCATTTACGAGTTAACTATAAGTTCCGGAACTAATTACGTGCAGCCACTGACCATCACTACCAAACGGCCCATCGTCACCATTAAACGCCCACCAGCGGGACGACCCCTTACCTTACATCCCATACCTACAAAATCTTATTTCCCAAAAGTGTAAGTAAAGTGCTGACATATCTCTCTCCATGCCCGCCTAAACGCGACGCATATGTCACGCCCTTCATACCTTACCCCACTAGTACTTATACTTCCATGCCACATTCCAAATTCCGTGTCAAAAGGGCGCACATGCAAATACCTTCGAGTATCGATGCACAGGATTCCAAAATGCGTTTCCCCCAGACCGCGGGCCGAATATCTTGTCGCCCTTCCAAGACTCTTTCCGACGTTACTTGCCGGCTTAGCAAAAGGCGCGGTGTGATTGGTCCGGTGCAGACCATCAAGGTACCATGTAGTCCTTGGTACGATAGTGAACAACAGATTTGCCAAGGGATGGTTGGTGGGGGAGAGGGGGGTTTTTTTTTCTCTTCTGATGAAGGAAAAGCTGGGTTGAGGGATTTGTTGCATGTTTCTTTGTCGCTATTACAGGCGGGTTGGGTATACACGGCTGGACGCTACTACGATGTCGGACTTGGAGAAACGTTTGGTTTGGAAGCTTGGTATGTACCTAGTACTTTGGTATCGTCTACGTATAGAATCTAACGAACTGGACAGATTGCTTTATTTTGGTTAGATTCATTGTTGAAACTTAGTTTGACTGGGTGGAGAGCTGATATCTGCAACCAGGTGTATTGTTGTGCTGCGTATTTCTTCAATTATCTGGATCGATCGGCGTTCTCCAATGCGTATGTATCTGGCCTCAAGGAGTCACTGAGCCTGGAGGGCAATCAGTACAGCATCTTGCTGTCCATGTTCACGGCTGGTAGTTGTACCGGTCAGATACCTCACGCTCTCATCATCCAAAAGGTTGCGCCTCGGTTTTGGCTGCCCTTTACACTGATAGTATGGTCCGGCTTGACCATGTGTTCAGCCGCATGCAAGACGTACACCCAACTTTGCGTTGTCCGCTTTTGGCAGGGCTTCTTCGAAGCAAGTCTTTATAGCGGTACGATTTATATCCTGGGATCCTGGTATAAGCCGTTGGAGATTGCCAAAAGAACTGCCATCTTCACGGCGGTTGGACAGATAGGCAGTATGTTTGCCGGTGTCATGATGACGGCGATGAATCAGAGTCTGAATGGACGAACCTCTCTTGCAGGGTGGCAGTGGGTCTTTATCATCAGTACGTATGTTCCAGCACATAGTCAATGTCGACACTAACGCCCTTAAGATGGTGCTATGGGAATCCCCTTTGGCATCTTTGGTCTGTTGTTCTTTCCCAACCTGCCTGAGTCTCCCAACACCCCGTATCTTAGCAAGGAGGAAATACAACTGGCACTGAATCGTCTGCCACCCAAAAGAGATTGGGGTCACGATATCAGCCTCAAGTCACTGGCCAAGCGACTTCTTGCGAAACCAGACATTTACATACTATCCATGTACTCTATGATAGGATGCGCCCTCGAAGCCATTGTTCTCCAGGGCCTGTTCTTACTCTGGATGAAAGCCAACATCGCGCAGTTTCCCTCGTATGCGAAGACTACTTATCCTCTGGGCGTCCAAGCCGTCTCTATAGTCTCAAACATTGGAGCTGGCTACATCATAGACATGACTAACCGCCGTATACCCATGGTCATCCTAGCCGGAGTCTTGCAGCTGCTTGTTGCAATCCTCCTGCTGGTCCCCAATCTCTCCACCGCTGGTGTGTTGTTCGCGTTCTACCTGGCTGGCACCTCGTACATTGCGAATCCAGTCATGTATGGATGGGCGAGTGTCATTTGCCAGCGGAACGGTGATGACGCCTCGAGATCAATCATACTTTACATCATGAGTATGGTGCAATCCATTCTGTACACCTTTTGGGGCATTGCCTTCTATCCTGCGACAGACGCACCGTATTGGAAGAAGGGTTACATCACAATGATTGTAGTGGTATTCGCTTTCTTCGGTTCAACATCAGCTGTGCAATGGGTGCGTATAATAATACTATGAAACGTGATGGCTGCAAACTGACCGCAAACACAGTTGGATCGAAGGTCAAAAATCACGGCAAGCAGCGAGGAAGAAGTCGTTTACATTGAGAGCGAAACAGCTGATGATCGGAACAAGAAGGATCGAGGTCTTGCATAAAAGATAGGGGTGGGAGCACGCTTTTGTGAAGATACAGATTCGATGCTGGCCTTCGTATTCGGTGCGATTTTCCGCTAAGCTTGGGTCAAGTGATCAAATATCGAATCGAATCGAATCCTATAATCCGGGGGATATACTCATACCCGCGATACTCCCTTTTGCATGGTCAGAAGGTGGTCCTGTGCGGTCTGCGCCGAGCCGTTGTACGGGTTCGTGTCTTCGAGAATGCGGCACCTCTGCCGAAATCAGTCCCGCCATTCGGTTCTTCATACATACCGTACGATTTGCTGCCCTTTCAATGCAGAATGAGCCCAGAGCATGGATGCGCCTTTGCTTGTAGTTGGCAGCAAGAATTTGTGTGTATAGCCAGGAGTAGCCCCGAATCACATCACACACAAAAAGCAGTCAATCACGCTGAGGCGAGTAGGGTGAAGTGGGAAGGAGTGCAGGTTGGGCACAATCGCCTGGGTTTCGAGTACGAGAAGGGAAAGTTTCATAACAGCTCAGGTGTTTGAGCGGAGCTATATGGCGGAAACTTAAGGGACAGGTATTGTGTAGAAAAGGACGTGCACAGGCTGTTCCCCAAGACAAGCGAAGTCGAGTCAAGTCCTGCCATGGCCAAGATGGAATTCGACTTATTGAAGCTTGGGCCGACTCATTTTGCAAGCTTCTCTCCGACCACACAGACATGGTATTCATGTCCGATGTCAATGCAGAGATGCAACGTTGGACACAGGTCGGATAGAAGCCGTGGCGAACACCGCATTCGATGTTTCTTTGATGGTGATGGGCACCGTAGCACTGTGCCAACCACGGTGTACTGGCTATAGTAGTCGACATATGGAAGCCTTGGTACGACCATTTGTTTGAGACGGAGGCGTTGTTTTATGCCCGTCCAGCAATGGCAGGCGAGAAGGAAAGAAAAGAACGCGCGCCACGTACGGTCTCTGGGTCAGGTGTTTCGGGAGGTGAAGCTGTTGATGCGTAGGATACATTGGATATGGAATTGATCGATGCAGATGTGACGACTGGAGTAGGGCAGGCATGGCGGTAGGCGGCGACAGCTGAGGAGGATCGGCAACGGCCTTGCAAGTTTCCGGTATCGCAGAACGTGGGGCAGAGGACTGGATTAGTACCGGAAGGGGTCACAAACAACCGTTGACTTGGCACACGTATCCGCTGAACGTCGCGAGGGTGTTGTGGAGATTGAATTCGGGCCTACAGTTGTTAGTACTTAGCTAAGGCTTCATGAAATGATAACACACTTCCCCGCTGCATTGCCTGCTGCGTATACATACATACTACACTGGTCCAACTCCCCTGGTGCCAGGATGAAGCTGCTCGTCAAATATGTAGCACCGTATAATCTTAGAATCCAACAAGGTGATTAGTGCTGCCAAATGCCCCTGAACGCCACCAATTTCCTAGTCGCCATTTGTCGACTGTTCGACTAGGAGAACAGGCCCCTTCAGGCGTTGTTACAACGGTGGCTAGTGGGCATCCCAGCCTCGCCGTCACCTCCTCCACCATCACGGTCCAGACGGTGCACCATGGACTTGCCTACGCGCCTCACCTTCAACCTTCCCAGCGACCGATTTTTCTCAGCCTCAATCTCTTTGATTTTTCTCACTAATCCCTTCAGCCTCGCTTACGCCTTGGCAGCGACATCCATCCAGCCGTGTTCATGGGATGCCTTGATCTCTAGGGCGTGAAACGCCAAATGTGCGCACTACATTCTCTAGCCAGCTTCATTATGCCATCCGGTGAAGGGGACAATAGCTGCTCGCTCACGGTCGCGTTCGCCCACAGTTCCCACTGGCCGTGACGGTTTCTCAAGCGAGAGGTCGTTCCACCGGATTTGCCCCGTCACGTTTCAGATGCTCATTGTGCCATGCTGCTCGAACACTACGAGTCTCGGATGCGGGCCCCAGACTCATCCCGCTCCTTTACAGTCTCCTCATTTGCGAGTAATGACCTATGATTGCAGCCACAGAGTGGGGCTATACCGACTGCAAATATCATCCACCCTCGTCTACGTTGGACCAGGGAAAAGTAGTGTACAGCGCCTGATGCCTGCATACGACCCGCACAGCCAATAACATTAGCCATATCACTCTTCTCCCATGCGGAAACCTATCCCCGTGGCGCTCTGACAGCATACACTACTTTGCCTAATCGACAAGCACCCGCTACGGTGCCAGGCAAGAAATGTTTATGGGGCCGGAACAAGCACTGCAGCAAATCAGAGCAGAGCAAAACGCTTTAGTATGCATGTTTCGCCTCGAAAAACTGGATTACATGGTACATCAGGCCTACACCCGGTCCGTTTTCGCGACAAGCGTCGAACCTGCTAGCCATGGGTTCGCACATAGCAAGGAGAAAGTGGCGGGCTACCTGCTTGTCGCCTACTAGTAAGGAATGAGGATGAAGCTCAATATATCAAGCCAATTTGGCAATAGTGGCCCTCTTTTGTCGATAAGAGCTGGACTCTGAGTCTGTCAATCCTTCTGTATGCATGCAGTGGCGCAGGCTTCGCCCACATATTACTACGCTCTGCTGATTCAAGTTATTCTCATCACAGCAAGCGCCCTTCGTCGTCGTCTTCTTCTTCTTATCCGTTGTGTCGTCTGCTTCTTCCCGGGTTTCCGTTTCTTTCGATATACTTTCTTCTACCAGATTTACCAACCATGGCCCACACAGCTTCTCCATATGTGCTTGCTCCTCGGCTACCCGATCCTTCAGTCCGCGTCAACCTTGACGACTACGCCGCTACCGCTAAGGCACACGCTACGTCGAGAAAATACATGCACGACCTGTTTCCAGGCCAGAATAAGCCGTTGCCTCTCCCAAAAGATACCAAAACGCAGAACCGACCCGTTCACGCAAAGCCATCCCACAGTTCGCGCCAGCGACGTGTCCTGGAAGAGCGGCTCGCCCCAATTAGAGCTTCAGAGGACTCTATCGACCGACGATCACTAGAATGCCTAATTATGCTGGATGAATCACCGGTCCGCGGACCTCAGAGGACGATGATGACTTCGAATCCTGTTCCAGCACCTCTCAACGTCACCAAGCGTACTCCTTCTCTTAGGCGTAAAAACAGCACAACACAGCCACAGATTGAGCGGACACGCTCAGTGAAAGCTCCCAGCCACACCAACGTGACAAGGCGCTCGTTACTCCAGCTTCCCCAAGGCCTACTGGGGCATATCCTAGCTTATGTTTTTGCCGAAGAACGGGCTGTATCGATTACACCTTATCAGTCGCGGGTTACGCCGCAGCGCTACCGACATCGCCATGGTCCCAATGCTGTGGATATCCGATCCGTCATGATGCACCCTGCTCTTAGTGTGTGCCAGCAGATGCGTGCAATGGGACTAAATATTCTGTACCGCGATAGCTTGTTTCTCATCGACTTGTGCGATGCTCGCAGTGCTTTCCATACACACGAAAAGGACGCGGGCGGCAAGCATTGGGATTGCTGGACAAATGGGAAACCTCCTCACATGGTCCAATCCGTACTCACAAACGCATGCAACCTGCGCTTCCAGCTGCCCGTCTCCGGCATGGAAACAGGACCGTTGCTCGGAGCTGTAAAGCGGAAAAAGGACAACCACGAGGACGGATGCGTTATCGTGGAGTCTCTCCGCAGCATCGCAACGCTGATAACCGGTCTACCAACGGCTCAGCAAACAGCACGGCCACGGTCGTCAAGCCCAGTCGCACCAAAAGCGTTGCGGCGCAAGCTTAGCATTCGCGGGCTGAAGCGCCACGACTCGCTGGAATTCGTGTGCCGAGGAGATAACGCGCTCCAATCTCCGCCGCCGAGGGAGCCGCTCAGTACGCTCGAAGTCGTCCTCGTGAAACCGGGAGCCACGGCCGAAGTGCACCCCCAGACGCTCGAGATGATTGCAATCTGCAGCAGCATCCCCGTCTGGGACAATCTCGAATACCACCTCGAGCTTGGGGGCGTGCGCAAGCTGTGGGCCAAGCGCACAATGGGAAAGTGGCTAGGCTGTGAACCGGATGCGGGTAAATTGGTGCTTGGTATGTTTTGGAAACACGACTCGTGTTTTTTTTCTCTTGCCTTTCGATCTTTTGCTAACTCGGGTTAGATCTTCAAGCTCTAGGCTATCCGCGCCCCATGACCGAGTTGTCGCCGCAGAATTCAGCCAGGGTAGAAATGTTTCAGAGGCACAGATTGAGACCGACGCAGGACTCCATCGATGGCCTCACGCATAGGTATCTGCAGGCGCCCTCGAAAAGTAGTCGGAATCAAAGAGCACCCAAAGAGGGTACCATGGCGCGGAAAATGAGAGAAATGGAGAGCCTTTCCAAGATGTCGCTGCTGAGAGGGGCCAAGCAACCGCCGACAGTGGAAGAGATTCAACGGGTTGCATCGGATATTCGGCGAGGAACGTACTAAATGTCAATATCATCGGTGTATATCCCTTGCCTATAATACTCGTGTTGCCAAGTACCATGTCTGGAAGTAGTGGAATGCTTCGTGATGTACCTCTGCCCATTTCCCTCTATCCAACTATTGTCTATCATGTATCCAAAGTCATTCTTGTGTAATCTAGGCGCTCTGGGTTGCCGCTCTCTATTATAATTTACCATCTGAAAACTGCACGACAGCCCACTTGCCACTCCATGCCCACTTCCGTGCTCCGCTGTCTCCTCCACCACCCTCCATAGCTCTGAGTCGCTCGTCTTTACCTTCTGACAATCCAACCACCACGTCAGCTTTGCACGTACGGAGCGCAAGCACACGGAGTCCTGAGCCGGGGCCCATAGGTCCAATGGCCTCGGTGAAAGGTGTTGTAACGGGCCAGGCAGCCTATCAAAATATTTAGCAGAGTCAATGCATAAAGTGCTGCCCACACTCACATCAGCAGTCAGCTTCCGGTAATTCAAATCTCCCTTGAAGATGACCAGCTCGCTCTCCTTGAGGTCTTGGTAAAGCTCCGGTTCTGTCTTGGGAAGCCGCCAGTAGCTTCCAGCTGCAGTCCAGAAGTCGTTGGGTCGCAGCATTAACTGGCCCTCGGCATGCATGGTACTCCAGTGCTGGAACAAAAATTTCAGGTTGGAGCTTTCGGTTTGTGAGAGAGGTACAACCTCCTTTCCATTGTGCTTCTCATCGTCGGATAGCGATTCGTAGAAGGTATGTGGGTCGGCCAGTGCGGACAGAAGGGCACTAAAGTCGGCCGGCAATACATCTGAGACGAACCAGGGAATGGATTTGGGATGGAAAACAACATTTGTGGCGAGGCCAGAGGCGATGAGGTAACCGGCCAGGATCAGGTCGACGAAAAGTTCAAAGCCGGCATTATCGAGGACGATGTCAACACGCCTATCTCTCTTATCCCCCTTTTGTGCGGCAGATAGCACCTTGAAGGCCTTATCCAGGTCGTTGACCAAGATGTTCTTCTCTGAGTTCTTGCGCGCCTCGGAGCCTTGCAGCTTTTGAATGTCTTCGTAAGATAGATTCGTTAAGAGCGAAAGATCCGTTGCGTTGCCCCAGAGACAGATCTCACACATCTCAGTGAAGAGAAGCTTTTCGGCGGCCTCAAGCTGCTCCTGGGTGTGTGCGCCGCTAATAGTCTTTTTCTGCTCCAGCTCGGTGACAATGTCCTTGTAGCGCGCGGCGAGTTCGAGAACGGCAGGACGGGAGGACTTGAAAGTAGCCATTTTCTGGCGAGCGAAGATGTCATATGAGCGCCATTTGTCACTCTGTTTGAAGATGCTCGATATGCGTCTTGCTAGGGCGATTAGCTTCGACCACGAAAGACGGAGACGGCACTTACCGGTACAAATAGCACTCGGCATAAAGCCAGGGCACATTGTGCCATTTGGGATTGCCTCTGGTGGCTAGTTCCTCATTGTATGCCTTGACGTCAGGTTCGCCATCATCGGGGATAGGCGTCAGCTCGCGGTCGTGTTGCAGTTCGTACTTGAGCTTGGCTAGTTCGGAAACAATGTGTTTGCCCTGACTGATGGCTGCCTCATCCTTGGTGCTGTGCAACGAGCGATGAACGTCATCAATGCCTTGTGTTATGATGATGGGCCATCGCGAGCGCGCTGATGTGTGGGCAAACGACGTGGCGTCGCTGGTGCTGTATTGCGTGGCGGGGAATGTGTCACACTCCATGGTGGTAGTGCACTTGAGCTACCGTTCCGGTCCCTAATAGATAGGGGAAAGAGAGAGAAGAGTTTTTATAGTTGATTGTACCAAACGTTGAATTGTTAACATGGCGGGGCCCACCATCCTCTCACTACAAATAACTTATTTGGCGGGGTCCTGGATTTCGGAATTGCCTGGACGGGCTTAGCGCCATCATCCGCATCTCGTATGGCTTCCGCGTCTCATCGCATACAGAGCAGCTCCTTACAGACAGTTTTCCCACGAAGGTGCTGAATGGCAAACCATACCGTCTCTAATCGAGTATCGGCCCGTGGATTACATGCAAAAGGTTCATAGGTAAGTATACAGCGGTGCTAGACCTTAGTCTTTACAGCGATCAATGCATGACCTGGCAACCACAACATCCACCCAAGCGCGACTTTTACTCATTGTTCTCTTGTCGATAACAGCATCAAGATAAACTAGTAAAGAACCCTTCCACATTGTTAGTTCTTTCATCCATGGGGGTTGAGTATACATCCTCGAGGCACCAGAGCCCCAGGCTGTCTCCAGGCGATGCCGATGACGCAGGGATTGAGAACGTGCAGAGTGAAGATCTTGTGCCGCCAGACGGTGGCTATGGCTGGGTCTGCGTCGCTGCATGCTTTACAATCAATTGTTTTACTTGGGGTGCCGTCTCAGTGAGTACACAGCGAGTGCCAAAGTCCCATACTCTCCTCCCAAGGGACACAAGTAGCTCATGCAAGTTTCCAGGCATATGGCATCTATTTGTCTCACTATCTTGCGGAAGACCTGTTCCCTGAAGCAACGACCTGGGACTATGCCTTTATCGGGGGGTTTAATTTTGCCATAGCCATGGTCGTTGCACCCGCTGTGACAGTTTTGTGCCGCAAGTTCGGAATTCATGTCGTCATGTGCTGCGGTCTGCTATTTCAGCTTGCGGGCTTCATCTCGGCTTCCTTTTCGCATCGCATTTGGCAGCTGCACATCTCTCAAGGCGTCCTGATTGGGTGTGGGATTGGCTTTCTTTACATCCCCTGCCTCCCAGTCCTCTCCCAATGGTTTGAGAAAAGGCGAAGTCTCGCAAATGGCATCAGCGCGGCAGGTTCTGGCGTCGGCGGGGCAGCATTCGCATGGGGGTCAGAAGCTATCATTCAGCGATTTGGCATTGCCTGGGCACTGCGCATCACAGGTATACTCGCGTTCACGGCAAACACCACGGCAATCATTTTCATCCGTGATCGGAACAAGGCCATTCGGCCGTCTCAACTAGGCTTTGATACAAGGTTGTTGAGGCGTGGTGATGTGCTCTTGCTGCTCGCTTGGGCCTTCATCAGCATGCTGGGTTATATTGTCCTGCTTTTCTCTCTATCTGACTTTGCGTTGTCCATTGGACTGTCGCGATCTCAAGCTACTGATATGATTGGCCTGCTAAATATGGGCACTGCCATCGGACGGCCAATCATAGGCATTCTCAGTGATCGATGGAGTCGTATAGACACGGCTGGAGCGTTGACACTCTTGTGTGGATTGGCATGTTTTGCCTTTTGGCTACCTTCGACATCATACGGACTAACTGTTTTCTTTGTCATATTATGCGGGGCTATAGTGGGCGTTTTCTGGATGGTAAGTTGGTCTCTCATTTCATGACAGTTTTGGAGCAGCACCATAGTGACACCGGGTGTAGACGATTGGCCCGTTGTGCGTCGAAGTCGCAGGGATCAAAGACCTGCAGTCTCTATTATCTCTGTCTTGGGCGGCTGTCATTATCCCCTCCATAGGTATGTGCATCCAGCCAGCCCTTGTAAAGCTTCAGTGCATGACGCCTTACAGTGTCTGAGGGCATTGCGCTCAAGCTCAGGCGCCCCAGCTCTTCGCGCGAATATTTATATGTTCAAGTCTTCGCTGGTCTTGCTTACATAGTCGCTAGCGCACTTATGTTGCAGCTGCGCAGGGTGAAGCGCCGCCAAGCTCGCAGTTGCTGAGCTGCGTACGTCACCACGATGACTCCAACACAAAAGCCGAAATTTGGCACAGGCACTGATGTCTAATCTAACAAGTGCACTTTGCCCAATACTGGAGTCGAGATTCAACAAGTCGTTTATCGTTCATCCATTAGCTCTAGCACACGAGTATTCTTGACATTACACTCCTCATCTCCGACGCAGCCCAGGCTAGCTCTGATTCGACTGCGATCTCCATCACCACGCATCTCAGCGATAATGGTAGCAGCCGTTTCGCATGATATCAACAGTCCGGTATCGAGTGGCGTCTCCTTGGGCACAATAGGGGTCGGGGCGCAGAAACAGCTAGCGGTATTGGGACATTCTGCATCCTCTTGTAGTATGGAAAACGTAGACGTGGTGTTTTCATGACTAGTGCTGTCTACCGGCTTACAACGCGCTGAAGCTGGCGACGCATGAATAGTGGCAGGTATCGGTCGCTGGGTGGACTGAGACTCAGGGCGTGGTTGTGCTTGAGGCTGAACTGTCGACGGCGCTAGTGGCCTAATCGAGGTTTGCGCAGGAGACTGTGTAGGGGGCTGCATGCACAGGGGCATCGTCTTGGGAACCACGGGTTGGGGTGATATTGGAGTCATTGGAAGCCCCGATGGTACAGGTGGCACATGGACTGCATGGATGGGAGCAGTGGTGACAGTGGTGGGAGTAGTAGTAGTAGTGTTGTTGTTGTTGTTGTTGTTGTTGTTGTTGTTGAAGGAGCGCAGATATGCTTCTACTTCATTGTGCGTTACACCACGGCTGGCGAGGAGACCTCTTAACAGTGAGTTCTCTTCGGCGACCTTGCGTGCGGCGCGCTGCATCTCCTGCGTGGCGGTGACGCCCTTGATTTCATATTCTTGCACTCGACGGCGCAAGTCCTGGATAAGCTCCTTGCGCTGGTTGCGCGAACGCCTTTGATTCTCGCGGATGCGGATTGACGATGGTGTGTCGCTACCCTGTCCGCTGCTTAGCCACGAGCTGACTGCCAACACGAGGTTGCCTTCACAATTCGCTGGGAACCCACCTTCTTGGACATAGTTGGAGGTTGGTGAACGGGCGAGTGGCAAGACGGAGCACTTGGAGGCGTGCATGGGCAGGTGCAGATGCACACAGACGCGTAGGGTTCGGCGCTAAACCGAATCCAGTAGTCGCAGCAGGATGGCCCTTTGTCCATATGCCAACCACATCTTCTGCTTGCTACTACATATGTACTATCGATCTACACACATACCCCGTGGTTTGCCACTTGGAATACATGTGAGGCACATGTATACATCTTCGTCTGTCTCCGGTGCTGTCGCTCTTATTATCACCTCCGTTCTCCGTCCCCCCACCAGACTCGGCAACTGTCCCGCCATATTGCCGGCATCAGACCTCAACACCTTCCACATTGGCTATAACACCCCACCCCCCTCCCCCCTCCATGCATACACTGTGTGCACTCCACTCTTCCCGTCTTAGATCATCACACAAGCCGCCGTTACGCAGTAGACAAGTGACGAAAAGCCTTCTTGGCAGGCTCGGCTTTGCGGGTCCTTGATATTCCCCGCTCCCATTGTCTCGCTACGAGGCATTGCGACGTCACAAAGGCACAAAGTGTACTATCTGCACCCGGCAGTGCTGCAATAGGACATGCACTATGGTCTGACCAGGAAGCTCCCTTATCATTCACCGGGTACTAGCAGATGGCATCCCCCTGCCACTGAGGCTGCTATAAGAAACTCCATCCCGCTCTTGTCTACGGCTAGTGCGCTCCGTAAGCCTTTCTTATAGCTTGGTTTCTCCCTTCAGATATCATCGCCATCATGGTTCTATGTAGTCTCCCATTGCTGGGAGTGACTCTTCTTCTCACTGCTCTTGTCTATGCCCAGTTTCCTCCCACGCCACGAGACGTGAAAGTCGTCGAATCACAGCTTGAAGAAGGTGTTCGAATCTCATACAAAGAGGCACGTGATTTCTTAATCAGTCTATTGGCCATATTCTCATCGTATCCAGACCAAGCTGTGCGAAACCACGGAAGGCGTCCGAAGCTTCTCCGGCTATGTCCATCTTCCCGCCGGAGCACTTGCCGATCTGGGTGTCCAGGATCAGACATATGAGATTAACACGTACTTCTGGTTCTTTGAATCTAGAAAGGACCCCAAAAATGCACCCTTGTCAGTTTGGATGAATGGTAGGCATTTCGCTGAGACATATATGCAGCTCCATCTGACCTTGATCAGGTGGACCTGGATCTAGCTCCATGCTTGGGCTTTTGCGCGAGAATGGCCCGTGCTTTGTTCACCCCGATTCAAACAGCACTTATATCAACGAGTGGTCATGGAACAACGAAGGTTGAAAGGCCCAGACTAAGCTCAAATCACGCCTCATGACAAATGCTGACCCAAGTTAGTGAATATGCTGTACCTCGACCAACCCGTACAGGTCGGTCTTAGCTATGACAGCTTAGTGAACATTACCACCAACCTGGACACGGGCGAGCTAAAGGTTGTTGATTTTCAGAACACCCCAATCCCTGCTCAAAACAATAGCTTCTATGTCGGTACTTACCCCAGTCAAAACTCCAATCTCACCACACGAGGCACCGAAAATTCTGCACGTGCGCTTTGGAACTTTGCCCAAGTCTGGTTTCAAGAGTTTCCTGAACACAAGCCCAACGATGACAGAATATCAATTTCGACCGAATCTTATGGAGGTCGCTACGGGCCCGCTTTTGCGGCCTACTTCCAGGAACAAAACGAAAAGATTGAAAACGGAACTTGGAATGAAGCTGGAGAGACGCACATTCTACATCTTGACACACTTTTAATCATCAACGGCTGTATTGATCGATATGTACAATGGCCGGGTTACCCTGTCATGGCATACAATAATACATACGGTATCCAAGCCGTGAATGAAAGCCGCCATCAGGAGGTGCTCGACAATTTGTACCGCCAAGGAGGCTGCTTGGAGCAGATCGAAGAGTGCCGGAACCTCAGCCTCGTATATGATCCCACTAATCAA